AGGGAGGGAGGGAGGGAGGGAGGGAGGGAGGGAAAGAGAAAGAGAAAGGGAAAGGGAAAGGGAAAGGGAAAGGGAAAGGGACAGGGAAAGGGAAAGGGAAAGGGAAAGGGAAAGGGAAAGGGAAAGGGAAAGGGAAAGGGAAAGGGAAGAGGAAGGAAGGGAGGGAAGGCAGGGAAGGCAGGGAAGGCAGGGAAGGCAGGGAAGGCAGGGAAGGCAGGGAAGGCAGGGAAGCAGGGAAACAGGGAAGCAGGGAAGCAGGGAAGCAGGGAAGGCAGGGAAGGCAGAGAAGCAGGGAAGCAGGGAAGCAGGGAAGTGTTCGTGCTAAACGAGAGAACTCGTGCACAGACGCCATTCGGTGCAACCGATAAATCAACCGCTGCGTTGCTCCACATTCACAGTTTTATGCTAAAACTAATTGCCAACTGCAGGGGTCATGATATGTCCGTTGATTGGTCACTTTGCTTATTGGACCAATGTCAACAGACTTTTCTTTGGGTGGTGTTATGTTTAGAGGGATACACAAGGAGCCCAAAGACCTGAACTAGGTATTGGGCTTCTTGCAAGTTTTCTCAATTACATCGCTGTATTTCCAAGCCGGATGTGGTCAAGGTGCAACACAGCATGATGTTGAGATAGTTGCGCCCTGGCAAGCCCAAGTTGCCTTTTGGCTGGTTTGTCCTCAGACGCCTCGAAACCTCAGAGCAACTTGACCGTCAGCCATTTTCTTACTACACACTACAGTTCAGTTCCTGCAATTTAGTTCCAAACTCTCTTCCAAGGGCATTGGACATTTGCTCTAAAGTTCCATGGCCTGTTTTCATTGGCTCGCTTTGAGATGAGAAAGTCTCTGCTGCTTGCCGGTCTCTGCCTCGCTCATGCCAGTGCATCGTCGCACACCGACGTGGCGGTGCAGACGGCAAGCGCAAGAGCATTGAGTCCTTTACGCCAAGCAGCCAGCGTGTCACCGAGCACGCCAAAGCAGACTGCGTTTGTGGCTTATTGCAGCTATCGTGTGCATCGAGCGTTCATCCATTTGCTACCCGCATCTGAAGGCGGCTAAAGAACTCCGCAGTCCAGCATGGATCTCCATCGTTCGAATCAGAGGCTTTGCGGTTGCTTTTTTGCTCCTTTTTTGTGGCGCGTTGCTCAAATTGGTGACATGCTCACTGCTAGGCGAGTCTCGACAACACACCAGGACCGCGACTTGGAATGCATTGGCTCCTCATAAATGACAAGGAACATGGTTGATTCAAGAGCAGCAGTCATTTCAAGGTTAGTAAGTCAGACGCTCATTGAAGTGTGGGCTGCATTCAATGTGCACTTGTGTTGAGCTCCACAAATGACAATCTCTCCCTCTCCCTGTGAGAGTATCCGTTGTTGTCCAAGATTTCACTTGGGCCGCCAGTTGTTTTTCTCACGTGGTGCCCCCCTGAAATCTGGCCTTGAATCTCCACCATGAGTTGTCCAGATGGGTTTCCGTGCTAAAGTCGGTCCACATCCGCATTCGTTGCTCAATGAATAGCCAAATGCACAACAGCACGTGTGCTGACGCTGCCAGACGAGCTGCATCTCTGCTTGTCAAAGCCCATTGCTCACAACGCTTTGCCATGCACCACACCAAGCATCCCAAAACATCACCCTGACCCTGTCACGCAAGAAGAGATTTCAGATCTTGTGCGCTTGGCTCGAAGCTCAGGTCTGAAGAGCCCCTGCAAAGACTTCGACTGGGCCGACGGCCATGCAGATGGACGACACGAAATGCCCAGGCGTGGATTGCAGGATGGCACGAGATCTATTGTACATCAGGCTTGGAAGGGGGTCTTGAGGAGTGAAGGCATCGCACAGGCCCAATGCTCCAAAAGCCTTTCTGGGCTGAAAGCAATTGGTAGTAAGAAAAACTCGCACCTCACTTGGCGCCATACGCACTGCCGCTCAATTGGATGTTTGGAGCTGGATTGAACGAGTGAGATCCGCTGCAGAGGACACAGCAGATTGTAGGCACCCAAAATCCCATGGTGGGTACCAGAGACTTTGCTCGCAGATTGAGCACTAAGCAGCATTTGGTGGTAAATGTATAGAAAGGGTTGCTTTTGTTTGACCACGGAGGCTTTGCGGCACAGTCCGGCAGCACCACGTGCAAGGTCGCCGGATTCACACTTGTCCAGGCCAGGCTGTGAGGGTTCCCCTAAACTCCAAATTCTGGATGTGCAGTGAGGACATTGGATGATCCTCCAGAACCTTTGCTGCTTGACTCAGATGTGGTCTGCTTCGTCCCAACTGCGCAAAACCTGTCCATGATCCCAAGCTCAGCGTGGCCGTTCCAAGCCGTCAGGTTGGGATCACCGCTTGCTTCTGCCACAAGTTTGTTTACCAGGCCAGGGGGGCCCAGGGGGGTCAGGGGGGGGGCCAGGAGGCAAGGCCAAGGAGCCATCGACACGGATCCCTCAGTTTTCTCGACGGCCAGACCTTCGAGTCCTGGAGTGCGGGGCAGTGGAGGCGCGGCATGGCGCGGTGCGCGGCGTTGCATTCACTCGAAAGCTCGGAGAAGTATTCGGCAAGGCAACCTGGAGAGCATGAGCGCATGGCCTCTTCGGCTTGATAGCTACTACGTAGCTGTCTTAGCTCACGTCAAGATGGACATGGGCTTGTGCGAGAGGCACTGACTGAGGCTCCAAACATGTTCGATGTGATCGATTCCCTGGAATCTGGATCTCGGATCCCTTCATCTCACCAGAAGGCTTGCAGATCCATATGTGGACAAGCATCTAAAATCGATTTTCTGACTTGCCAAGACATCTGCGCCTTCCGCAATTGCAGAGGCGGGCGAGGGGGGGAGGGAGCAGCCTGCACGCACTGCTCCTTGCTGCTTGAGCAGGAGCTGCGACGCTTGCAAAGAGATCTTGTGGCAATCGAGCACAAGGTTCAAAAAGGCAGGGCGCACGGATTCACAAACTATTTTTCTTGGCACACGCATCGATATTCAAGCCTGCTTGGCAGGTTCAACACTCGGGTCCGCGCTTGAAGGGACGCGAATGCACAGCCAGGCTTCCGATCAGGCGCATTTCATCCGTGCGAGATGTTGCTTCGCAGGCAGACAGGTTTGAGTCGCCCTGGCTGAAGGCCGGGGACATTTGGATTTTTCACTGCCACTTTTGGGCAGTTCGATGGCCTCTTGCGATCGGTGGCTGCAGCAGGCCTGGCAGGCTGGCTTTCAGCTGGAGCATTCCGAGCCGTCCGACACGGAGATGGACAGCGGTTCTGAGTTTTGGTGGAAAGGGGAGCAGTGGACAAGCCACGATCACGAAAGCTAGCTTGCTAACTGGAGTCTCTCCTGCTGTGATGCGGCCAGTCAATCCCATGACTCTGTGATATATATTTTCTTGCGCGCTTACTGCGTTGCGCTTTTCGCCCAGAGGACGCAGGGCTCTTTGAGCGCTTTGGCCAATTTTTTCTTCCTCTCGTGAAGCTCCCCTGTCAACCCCAAGAAATGAGCCTGCGCCGCTCTTGCGCGGAGGCTAGCTTTCGTTTGCCTCCCCTGGCCTCAAGTATCAATATCTTGTGGGCTGACGGGGAGTGTCGTGTCTTCCGGCGTCCTTTGCGCTTCAGGAGATCTCCCATGAGATTGATGATGTCCTGGGGCTCCTGCGAGGGGCACCTCAAGCACCTCTGGGGGGATGGCAGCGTGAGGTGCCTAGGTCTCACCCGAAATAGCCAGGAACACCCGCCAAAGCTTCGCGGGGTACATGTGTAATTTATTGCCTGCTCCGTGCGGAGCACGCAGCATAGTCCAGGCGTGATGGGGAAGAGAAAAGAAACAAAGGAGACCAAGAAGCTGCCGCTTCCAACTTTAGCATCTCCCTAAGAATGGCTTTGACCAGCGATGTTCCACTCAGAACGGGGAACCCCACTAAATGTAGGCCCTATTCCAAGTTGCCTCACGCATTGTTCTCAGAGGCCAGCACTGCAGACTGAATCTTTAGACTCGTTGATAGCTGAACATTTTGATGCCGCCAGGAAGAGTCAAGCAGCGAGGAACTACTGGAAGAATTGGACCAGCTGCACTGCTCCAAGTGCTGTAGCAAGAGCCATGAACACCCATGCTGGATGGTGGAGCGATCAGGACCCTTCACAGCTCAACTGGCCCTCAGGTTTGACACAAAGGCGAACCTGCACAAAGAGTGCGACTTCTTTTTGGCCAATTTCGAGGCCATGGCAATGGAAAGCAAGTGGGTACACTCGGATGCTCACATTTGTTGCTTAATGGACAAAACAGGGATCTTCTCTGACGACGTGTTTCCCCCTTAGCCCAAGGGCTGGTGGGATTTTCCGACAGGATAGGAGCTGTGCGGCAAACATCACAAAAGCGCAAAGTCGTTACTTTTATTGTCACCTCATATTCAAGCCGTGTTCTTGGCTCGAGCGCCACGAGCAGGTCCGCCAGACTGCCAGATCACAGGAGATCGAGGCCCTTGCTCAGGCCTCGATGGCCGTGATTTTGTAAATATCCTCACCAAGATAGTGCAGTGGTTGTTGTTGCAGTTGTGGTGGCTGGTCATGTTCGCCATTTGTGTTTTTGTGAATATTCCTCTGGTTACGATGCTCTGCAGGCGAAAGCCATTCTTTCCGGTGCTGACTTCGGGAGCTTTTTGCAGTCCAAGTGATGCTGTTCTCGCCAGCTGTGGAATCGATTTAGACAGCCAGTTGCGAGCAGGCTGCAAAACTAATCCAATTGGTGCATGCGACTTTGCATTTTCCTCAATACTTGCTCCTGTGTTTCCTTGACATCATGCACATAATGTACCGCTTGCAGTTCGCTTATGCACATCTTGCTACCTGCACTGATTGCTTTTTCCTTGTCCGTTCAGTTTCTAATTCATGAAGTTGCGAGCTGGAGTCACTTTGCAGTCCGCGCATTGCTGGCTCCCAGGAGAGCGGGACAGACGGAGTGTGTATCAGATTCTTAGTGAAGGCACAGTTTGCAACAGAGTCCCAGGCAGCAAAATATGAGCGGTGAGAACATGCTTAA